TGATTTGGTTTTATACTCTTAAAGATGATTTTTAGTTTTTCAAATCCATAGTTCATGATTCTTGTATGCTACTTTTGAATTATGAAAATTTTGCTTTGATTTGTTCTTTTGAATTCATTATATAAGCACAAATAGATGCTTTAAATTTTAAATATGCTTTATAATGTATTTTTATGTGGTTTGATCAAGTTTTACAAAAAAAAATTTATTGATCAAACATCATTTTTGGGCTTAAATCTTGATTTGTGATTTTATTAATTAATTTGTTTTCATTTGAAAACTTTTTGCATGATTTTCATGTTCCTTTTCTTTTGATTTCATAAATCTATTTTTATACATGATTTTTATGTTTATGTTTTGAGACACATTATTTCAATGGTACATCCATATGTGTTCTCATTATCTTGTAGTATGTGAGTGATATTTAGCATATTCATCTATGCTTGCTCACATATGATTGCATTAGCCTTCATTTCATACAGTCATTAAGGCATTTTGATAGGGGGAGCAATCCATATATCTTTATATGTGTTATACTCACCCATGCTTATATGTAGGGGGAGTTTTCGCTCTCTCAATTCTTTTGGTTCACCTTTTTTATGTTATCAAAGAGGGAGAAACATTGTGAGTATACATTTCCTTGTTTATATGCATATGAATTATAATTTATATATTCATTTCTTTTCATGCATATATCATTTTTCTAAATTGTTTGTCATTATCAAAAAGGGGGAGATTGTTGGCCTTCTTATTTTGATGATGATTTACAAATAATTTACATCTAATATTGTTTGTCTATTGTTTGTGTTTTATATTTATTCTAGGTAAACAATATGTTGGAGGATAGATGGAATTTAAGTATTCACGATCATATCCATCGGAGGATGGAAGGAAATAGTAGAGTGAAGCAATACAATTCAAGTTAAAGATTCAAGTTCAAGCTTCATCCGCAAGTTTACCAAGAAGAGCATATTGAAGATCAAGATAAAGCTTGGGTAATTTAGTTTAGGAGTTTATATTATGTGTGTTAGATACTCTAAGCTCTATATCACACATACAAACAATTCTTGATTTTGAGTAATTTTGACAAAATATTGAGTTATTGGTTTTTGGACTTAACAACCATTATATACATATTCTATTAAGTCTATAAAATCATTTTATAAGGTTTCAAAATATTGTTTAACTCAATAGTCAAAAATCAAGAAGTTTATATACACATGTATTTACAAGTTTTGTAAAATACATGAGTTTTCACAAATAGAAAATTCAATTTGAGAAAATCTTTTTCTAACATGTTTAATTTCATGTTTATAAATGTTTCCCAAAATTTCATCAATTTTGGAATTAATTTTTTATGTTTAATTGAATTTACAAAATCAAGTTTTAAATAAGTTCATGTTCGTGCATGTTTTTGCAAAACAGATGCGTTTATACAATTGGGAAATGTGATTTAAAAATTTTCTTCGTTTACATGTTTATCATCATATATACGAATATTTTCCCAACTTTTACTAATTTTGGAGTTGTTTTGTTATTTTCAATTGAATTTACAAAAACGAGTTTTTAGCAGTTTTTCAGAAACTGTATATCCGTGTTCAAATAATTATTTCTCATAAATGGGAAGTTATATTTAAGAAATTCTTTCTCTAACATGTTCATCTACATGTGTAAAACCTTCCCTCAAAAGTTCATGATTTTTAAAGTTGATTTACTATTTTTAATTGATTTTACAAAGCCATATACATAATTTTCCAGTTTCTAAAATTGTCAGTTTTTCGCGGTCAACTGCTACAGTCGATCGTGCTACAGTATGGTCGACCACCATGGTCGACCGGACGCAGTCCAGAGAGCATTCTGGCTCTCGCGGTTGACCACTACAGTAGCCGTGGTCGATCGCCGAAGTTATCGTTGCACAATAACGGTAACTTGCTGTTTTTTATTTTTTAGTGGGTTTTTAGGGTTTTTTTGGGTTGTTTTCTTCTACCCTATATATACCCCTTTGCCATAACTATTTTCTACTACTAATGGATATTTTAAATAAGTTTTTATAAGAGTTTAAGTTTTGTTTAAGTGTGGGTTAAAAGTTTAAGTTTGTGAAGATTGTTTCACGAGAAGAGGAGATCATCTTTGGTTTGAGCTTTCCACTTCACATCTCCATCTCTCTTATTCTAGAGAAGTTTTCTCAACTCAATTATCTAGCTTGTTTATATTTACATTGTCATATTTATATTTGCTAGACTTTAATTGAGTTTGATTTTATTTCTCTTTGTTTACACACACAACCATTGAGCTTATTGTAGTTGCATACATTGTATAATTGGGTTGTGGGATTGTGTGACTTAGAGAGTGAGCCTACATTAAGTTCTCATCTATTATAGAGAACAAATTTGTTGTATTGAGAGCTTCATTGTGAGATACACTTTGTAATATACTTGTACACCGAGAGGAGTGTGTGGTGAGAGACGGGGTTGTCCCAAGAGAAGTGGGGTAGGTGGTAATGCCTAGAGATAAGTTGTAATTCCTAACACTTGAGGGAGATACGGGCTAGAGACCAACACTTATAGGGTGTAAAGTGGGATTACAAGAGTGTAGATTGTAAAGTTTCGGTTAGCTAGAAAACTGTATTGTGTGGTGTAAACGTTATTCAGGTGAGCATAGAAAACCCGGTTGTGATAGTAGAGATCTCCTCGAGGTGAGGAGCGGAGACATTGGTCGTGGGAACCGAACTCCGTGATCATATCTTTTGTTTGTGATTGCATTGGCGTACTTATTCTTGTATTCATATATTATATCGCCTTTGTGTATTACTCTTCATATTGCCCTATCATATTTGTAGATTATTTATTTTACCGTTGTATTAGTTTATATATCCTTGCATATAATTCACCATATATCTCTTTGCTAGGTTATATCCCTTTGCTCATATTGCTTATTCTTGCTCATAACACACTGTATATCTATCTTGCAAGAATAGTTTGTTGAATTATTTTTTAATTGGCATAAAATCATATTAGATTAGCATAAGACCCTAATCACCCCCCCCCCTCCAACCACCACTCTAGGGTCTAACAAGGTTTTTTGCCGGTCCAAAGCTCATAAGGTATAGAATTAATAGCCTTGGAAGGCGCATGATTTAGTACATATGTAGCAGTCAATAACGCAACTCCCTAAACAGATATGAATAAATTCACATGCGCTATCATGGACCTCACCACATTAAATAATATTCTATTCCTTCCCTCTGCCACACAATTTGCAAAGTATATGGAGTAGTCATCTATCGAACAATCCTTTCTTCTCACATAGTACCTTGAACTGCTCAGATAGATATTCTCAACCACACTCAGGTCCTAATAGTTTTATGTACTTTTGAAATCGATTCTAAATCTCATTCAAGGAGCACTAAAAGCATCTCGAAGCTTCACACGTGTGTGAGATTGTGTCATGAATAATCATCAACGAATGTAGTGAACTAAGGGGCTGTTTGTTTGTTTTATTTTGAGATGGAAAGGGGGTGAAAATCTGACATTTTGACAGGTTTTCACCCAAAAAAAAAACAACCAAACAGCCCCTAAGGGACTTAAGTCTGAGCTTTCACACTTAATGGTCAGTAAATGTCAAAACGGATGAGTTATATAACATTGTCGATGTACCCTACTCCAAATGGTTCTTTTGTAGCTTTGCTTGCAAGCAAGGCTCACAAGTGGGAAAAATGACCTTAGCGAACAAATTTAGAAGTTCACCTTGAGCTAGACGGATCATCTTCTCTTGCATTATGTGCATTAATCTAGACATCCCATATTATTACATAATCATTTCACAGCAACATATTTCATAGAAATTACTATATCTTTTATTGGCATCTTGTAACAAAATCGTTCACATCAACGAAAAATAAACCGTCTCAAAGGTTGTCCAATATTATGGCAATAATGTCCCATAATAATAAAATATTTTTATTAAAAATGAACATCACCAAAATGCAATAGCCCAAACACTAAAAGAATTTCACCGATTCTTTAGAACATGCAAGACTTTGGGAAGAAGGCAAGTGTTTCCATATTCTTCCCCTTGAAGAGTTGCTCATTTTCTATCAAAATGCTATAACACTCCACAAATCTATCCTAGTTCCCGGACTACATGGTTTGAGCATCCTGAGTTTGCAACCGACAAATGAGGAGAATCAGTAAAAGTCAAAAAAAAAAATTAGACTGCAAACTAATGCATCATTTAAGGATGGGGTGAGTGCCTTCTTTGGATGCATGCATCCACGTGTAAAGTATCCCAATTTCCCACTGTTGTGGCATGCCATTTTGACTTTTCCCTTCTTTCCCACCCTGTTCCCTCTCCAAGCCTTCTTGTTAGGCCTAGGTTCTTCCTTAGCTCGCGCATCCTGCATGTCATCTTACGTTTTGCAACTAGCTTGCATGACACACTTGGTGTAACCTGCATATGGTAAGCTAAACTTTCAGCTTTCTCTAGAATAACATTTCATTCCTTAAGAAAAATATGTTTTTCGAAGTCAGCAATTTTCTTCATACCCTCCTTGTCAAGCACCATCCTCTTATATTGTGCCATTCTATTAATGGTTGTGTTCGAGAATGTCATCCTCCAAATGAGAGGGAGCCTTCCCTTATATGTCTTGAGTGATTGGTGTTCTCGGATTCTTTGTGTAGTGTAATAATGGTCTATTGGAGATCTTGAGTGATCGGTATTCTCGTATTCCTTGAAAGATGTGAGATGTGTGAGGGGTTTCAAGTTTCTTCCATGCAAAACTTGTATTGCTTGTATTTGCTGCACTGCATATTGGTTTGTGAACATTGTGGATATCCCACTTGAGGGACAGTGGATGTAGGCACATCTGATCGAACCACAAAATACTCTGCGTTGTTGGTGCTTACACTCCTTAGTGTGTGGTTATTTGTGTGCTCCATAGTCCCCAACAAACCATTACAAGTTTACAACCCAAAAGACGCAACAGTAATCAGCTGAGCTCATCACCAAAAAAAGGGGGGGAAAAGTTCATTTGTACAGGTAATTGAATCAAAGGTATTTGGGGAGGACATCATCATGCCCAGCCAAATTCTTCACAGTCAGAAGCAAAATATCATAGCAAATTACAAAGCAAAACGAGAACATTGTGGTCATGAAGGTATATCCCTTAAAGCTTCAATTTTACTTATACTCAGTGATCATGGCTTTCCTGCCAAACTGAAGCTGTTACTGATGATGAGTAGGTAGTAACACCAAGTGCACAATGCTTCTATCCCCTTTACTTCCTTCCTAATTTCTTTTCTCTTCTTTTTGTTGGTGAGTTTTACAAAAATTACATTAGGATCTGGAAGAGTAATCTCCCACCATGGTAAAACGAATTTACACTCACTGCACAAACATGTATTTACTTTACATGGATGTAAGTTGTTAGCAATGAGAGAGGGCACGGGTCGAGAAAATGTCACGGCCCCCTTGTAAACCTCTTGGCTTCAACTGTATGAGTCCACGGTCGCTATAGAACCTTACGATCTCTCTGTTTCAGTTGTATGAGTTGTGTTCTGAGGCTGTATTCTTGAACCTGTTGACAATAGATCATCAGCTTCAGCTATAAATTGTAGTATTATGGCACTGTTTGGCAACCAAAAAAAGTGTCTTATCTAAGAGCTTGTGTCTTATTGACTTGGTCAATAAGCTAGTAGAGCTGTTTGGTGACCAAAAATAGGAGGAGATTATTTTAGAGATTGTGTCTTTTGCAAGTAGCTTTTGAAAAGCTACCTCAAGTAGTGTTTGTCTTTGGGAAGGAGCTGCCAATTTTTGTCTTCCGTTTTTGCCCCTAATAATTCTAATTTTATATCAATAATATTACATGTCTTTTTTAGTCATTTAACAAACTTAAGCTAGTTGTACAGCTACTTTTGCCAAACAGCTCTAGTCAATCAGCTAGCTACACAGCTAACAGCTTTCAGCTACAATTTCACAGCTTTCAGCTAGCTTAACAGCTTTCAGCTATAATCTCGCAGCTTTCAGCTAGTTTTGCCAAAGTGAGCTGGATACTGATTTCAGCAAATACAAAATGAGAAGCAACGAACTCTAATACAATACACCTTTTAAAAAAGGTTGAGGGACAATATAATGTAATTATGCCCTTTTCCCATTTTCAGAGAGACTCGAGCAGTTCTAATTGCACAGTTCTTAGTAAAGGCAGTCATGTACAATGTGATACATAATACTCTACGTAATTACAATGACGATGATCAAGGTAGTATTTCACACCTAAATCAAACTGGCGGCCATGAAAAGATGGTTAGGTTTGAAGTTAGATGGTAGGTCCATGGAATCGAGTTGATAGCAATATTGATGGGGTGTAATCCTTGTTCCAGCTAAAAATATTAGAACAATATTTCACATCTTACAATGTGAAACTACATGTTTGGTTTCTGCATGCAAAACAAATACAACTATATTTCTACCTGCATTCCCGTTGTTGAAGCTAGTAGTTCTCTGCATTCGTCAAGCATGGCTCTCTCTTTTGCTGCAACAGCCGCAAGTTCAGACACAAGCACTCCCGTACTTTCTACCTGCGAAATATATGATCCGAGTCATATTACAAAATTTGAGACCGCAAACACCCAGCTACAACTATAATTCAGCATTTTCTTGAAAGGCATACTGAATTTGAATCGATTTCACTAGACAAATCAAAGGCTAGTTAATTCATAAAAATCAGTTATTTACTCAATCCAAGTGTTATGAAACCCAAATTCTACATATCTACTATGTATCAGGAAGGAGACAAGTTAGAAATATAAATTTGAGCAATTAATCAAGAACTAAAGCTGACTAGGAAGAAGAGTGTAAAACTAAAAGCGAAAAATCCATACGAACACTTATTTTAACATGTCTATTAAAAGGCCAACTTGAAAGCTTATTCAAGCTCAATTAAGTCCCAGTGTCACAGAATTTCACCTACATGAGAGTTACCTAGTGTCACAGAATTTCAGTTACATGTGAGTTCAAGTACCTAGATTATATGTGATTATTTAATAAATGCAATTAGTGATGGACTAGGCAATGAAAACAGAAAATCTAGCCTTGAGATTTTACACCTTGTTCTTATCATGACTTAAAAAGCCAAGATACCTATGTTGGTAATGATGTGGAGAGGCTTCTGCTTTTTCCATCAATATTTGCTTTTGCTTTACTATAGACAGGTACCAGCTTATATACTTGGCCATCAAGTTAGCCCATGCAGGTTCAGAATTTAATATTATGTTACTCAGACACCATATAGTATATCATATGATACAGACCACTGGAAACCACGCCATCAGGCACATGTTTTTCAGTGCACTTAAGTTCATTGAAGTAACTTGATAGTGCTTGCAATGAATAGTAAAGAGCAGACAAACTTCTAGTGGAATATAAGAAAATGATCCAACTAATTTAATGCTAGAATTGTGCGGAAAACATGAAGCCACAGTAGGTAAGACAGGTTTTTTAAGAAAGCCCAAACTATAATAACTAGAAATGTTGTCGCTTCAAAGATTATGATAGACTCAGTGTACAGTTACGAATATGTTCAGGACTCTGTTATAATTACAAGGAGCAGAAGAATAAGAGGAAGTGATTGTCAAGGTCTGTTGTCTAGGAATAATTATCATCAACCTCACATTTTCTTTTAGTTGCCTTTGTTAACAGGTAATCATATTTTCATCACTATTATTTCAAAACCCAAATTTTCCTCACCCAAAGTTCTTGCATAATGTCTACACTTGGAATATTAAAAAGAACTGAGACAACAAGGAAAGATTATCCATGGAATTCCCCTAGAAAGCTAACATCCCTTCCATATGTATGTTATTTTCGTCACTACTATTTCAAAACCACAATTTTTCCCACCCAAAGTTCTTGCATAATATCTATACTTAAACCTTCAATACTTCAGAAACGGAGAGTGAAAAAATAACAGAGCCCAATCTCACCTTTGATAGCAAGTTGCAGATGGAAGATCCCATTACTTGCATTACATCAACTGCCGAACTAATAGCATGCTTCACAGCATGTGCATCACCCTGTAAAAGCAGGAGGCAAACATAAAATGAAATAACTCTTGAGAACATTTCTATGAAAATTAATAAACTTCTCCCAAAACCTATCATGAATGATTATAAAAATGATAATTCATGTTTTACATTGTGCTTCTGATCACATGATAATCAATCATACCCTTGCACCCCCTGAAACTGGAAGTCGGAGTGTGCTTGCCTTCAAAGCTCCAATTGCCCCCGATAATGAATTATTGTAATCCATATCCAATACAGCCCATTCTTCAAGATATGATGTCTGCAGAAAATTGAATGCCACGCAAGAGCTTCAGATAACTGAGCTTAAATTTTAAGAAGATCCTATTACAGATTTCCGAGCAACTCAAGCAAGATACCCAGGAAATTTATTGGTTTAAAACATAAATAAAAATATCATGAACTGAAAGGAGGAGAAGAAGGATAAGAACCATATGATGAGATAGGTTAGAACACGAATAAGACAAATAAAGAAGGCAACGAATATGGGTAATGCAACTGTTACAAACCTGTCAAATAATCACCTTACTCAAAAGCTTAAACTAGTGGGTCAACAATGTAACCTGATGCTTTGTACAAGGTAGCCACTTTAAAACGGTAGACTTCTAGAGCCTCAAGGTACATAAGATGCTCTGAATGACGAGGATATATTTCCTTAGGCTGTAATAGTGCTTTTCCCAAGAAAAAAAAGATAATTTTAATGCTTAAAATTTCAAAAAGCAATGACATCATTTTTCTTCTGATTCTGATTCGGATTAGTTTGCAGAATACAGCTTGATCACAAATTAAGGTGAAATATACCATGATTCTTTGGCTCTTCCAACAAGTGTTTTGCACCATAAAGGATTACTGTCTTTTAGAAAGGAAAATCTATCATAATACTGTATATCCAAAGGATAAGTTAAAGGAGTCCGTATGTAAATAATTTGAGTGTTAATTAATATGAATCACAGACAGAATAATTGATAAATCAGCTGCAGGACAATGCATGTTCAAAAGTTTAAAATTTATTATATGTGCACAAAACAGTCTTTTGAATTTTAATTTATGTAGTATTCTATATAAGAATAAAATGGAAATTTATTATTTTGGACGAATGTATTTCAAAAGATCCCCTCACTAAACAAAGACTACAATCCATATTTTAAATAGATTATTAGAACTATACATGTGGAATTCCATCTTGAAAGGGGAATCATCAAAAATTTCATCACCCTTCCCGAAACCATGCATATTCACGTGGATGAAAGACGGAAATCCATGAATGGTATGTATATGTATCTGTCTATACTCTATATGTATGTGAATGTGCGCGCGCACATGTATGCATGCTTTCATGCATCTATGCATGTATGTACATACGATATTGTTTTAGTCCATGTTTTTGCCTTAGGGTTCCCCAATAGTCACACAAAGTAGTTGTCAGCTTAGTATTAAGATGATGTATATAATAGGAGTATGTAAACATTGGAATTAATTTTTTTCTCTTATAATTTTGGAATTAAGGCAATATATGTTAATATTTTCAACATATAGAGTAATAATTGATAATTGTTATTTGGAACTTTAACAATGACATGACTCGTGGACAGAATTATCTAACAGAAGAATCATTCATCAAGTACATTCATGTGCCAGAAAAAGAAAAATACTGACCATACATTACCTGTTCTCTCAGAATTAAGTTCAGCATCATCTCTTGCTTCAGTTGGCTTCCATGATCTCTCTGAATAGACTGAGGAATCTATCTGCACGGTTAAAGCCACAGGAAACAGAAAAACTCTTTCACTGTACAGACAAAATGGAGGCCGGCCTTTGTGACGTCTGAATGAATGAGGATATCAGAAAGTAAGATCAAGACGAAATTCGCCTCAAGTCTGAAATGACCGGCTCCTGAGGATTCAAGGCCATGACATCACATTATCAGCTCCTGGGTGCTTCTATGTGCCACACTTCTCTCAGCATGTGTAGAATCCTTTTCTATGCACTGATAGATACTTCAAACCCTTTTACAAATTCCCAAATGTCCTAAAAGTTTAAGGCAAGGCGATCTGAACCTTGATCCATACTAATGATACTAGAGCCTGGAGACTTGCTCATACCTTTTTCCTTCATTGACTCTCTGATCTTATTTGCTTCAGCCCATCTACCATCCGACGCATACAAATTAGACATCAACACATAATAATCTGGACTCTCCGGTTCCATTTCCATCATCCTTCTCACTACAACTTCTCCGATATCCAATCTCGAATGCAGTCTACATCCATTAAGCAAAGCCCCCCACACACTAACGTGAGTTCCAACAGGTATTCTTTCTACAAATTTCAAAGCTTCTTCGACCTTCCCTGCTCTAGCTAGCATATCTACCATACAAACATAATGCTTCTTTGATGGGGCTATGTTGTGCTTTTGTGTCATTCTCTCAAAGTACTTTTGGCCTTCATCAACTAAACCAGCATGACTACAAGCTGATAAAATAGAAGTAAATGTTACATCATTTGGTTTCAACTCTTCCTCCAACATTTTGCTAAAGAGATCAAGAGATCCTGCAGGATCCCCTTGCATCCCATATCCACCCATCATCGCAGACCAAGTCACGGTGTTTTTATTTCTTGTATCATCGAAGACTCTACGAGCTGAGAACGAGTCCCCACATTTATTATAAAGGTTCAGAAGAGCTGTACTGACATAGACATTAAATAGAAAATTTTGCTTCACTGCATAACAATGGAATGAAGTACCAGTGCATAGAGCTCCTAAACAAACACACGCTGAGAGAGCGCTAACCACAGTGATAGCATCGGGCAAGCAACCATCTAATCTCATTTGATTAAAAAGTTCCAAGGCTTCATGCCCAAAATCATTCTGTGCGTAGCCTGAAATCATTGCGTTCCATGTGACAACATCTTTGTTAAGTATTCTCTTAAACACACAGTCAGCTTCGGAAATGGCACCACACTTTGCATACATATCAACAAGAGAGTTTCCCACCTCTTCTACCTCTTCAAGGCCTAGTTTGAACACTAGCACATGAGTTGATCTACCCAAATGCAACATACACAATTTACCAGAAGCAGAGAGGGCAGTTGATAAGGTAACAGAATTAGGAACTAAGCCTGCCCATTTCTTATCACAAAACAACTTCAATGCCTCACTTGGGAATCCTTTCTGAGTGTAGCCAACAATCATGGCAGTCCATAGAACAAGATCGATGTCGTCAAGCTCATCAAAAAAGGCCCGAGAATCGGTAACTTCTCCACATTTGATATACATATCCAACACTGAAGTAGCCACAAAAGCGTTCATGCACATTCCAGTTTTCAATACGAAACCATGAATCCACTTTCCTTGATGTGGAGACTCTACCATCGAACATGATGTGAGCAAGCTTCCCATTATATGCTCCTCTGGTTCAATATCAGCCAATCTCATGCGATTAAAAAGAAGCAATCCACTTTCTGGGCGATAATTCTGATTGCAACCCGTTATGACCGAAGCCCAAGAAACTACATTTGGATGAGGAATTTCCTCAAACACTCCCACAGAAGAATCCAAGTCTCCACATTTTGCATACATATCAACAAAAACATTCAGTAAGAAAATATCGGGATTTCCAACTTTAACTACAAGACAATGTAGCTTCTTCCCCTCATCGAGGTCAACCAACTTGATGCAAGCTTTAAGCAGGAGAGAGAAGACAACATTATCGTACTCAACATCACATTCTCTCATGTACCAATAAAACCCAATGGATTTATCAAAGCAACCATTCATGACATAACATTTTAGCATTGCTTTGCATGAATAGAGATCTGGGCTCGGAATTCTATCGAACGCCAAGCGTGCATACTTAGTGTTCCCCAAAGAACCATACGAGCTCAACAGCTTAGTTTGAAAAGGGAGGATTTGGGTGAGGCCATGAACAATGAGATGGGTGTGGATTTTCTTTACCGAGAAAGGATCAGTGCAAGAATCCAATAAATAGAGAAATGGGTACTTGGGTTTCTCAGAGGAATTTAATGGAGAAGTGTAGGGATGAAGGTGAGATAGGCTAATGGGTTTCTTTACGTGGTGATATAATCTGAAGAAAACTTGAGTCCTACGTATAATGATGGAAGATGAAGATAGTCTCCAAATTGGAGGGAACAAGGGTTTCATCGGAACACCCCCAAATTTGGAGTGGGATATTGGGATTTCCAAATTTGTAGTGGAATAAAAAACGTCACGGGTTATTTGAAAAACACCCACAGTTTAAAGGGGTCCATTCTATTCGAATTAAAATATGTCAGGGGGTTTTTCTGAGATTAACCCATAACACCAGCTACTTGACGCGTGAGATCAAACTGACCGAGAATAACCTCAGCCGACTTAGGCGTCTTATCAATATTCTCATACGCCCTCCGAATCGCGTGCGTCCGAACCTGATCCAAAATCAAAACCCTAATTCACTTCAACAAACCCTAACAGAACGAGAATCATATCGACCTAGGGTTTCAACTACAGGAGAGATTCAATACCTGAGTCGGTCTCATGGCGGCCTCGAGGGCGGAGAGGCGGTGATCGAAGGATCCAAGGATGGTCACGGTGTTGTCGGTGATGGTCTGGCTCTTGTGGAGAGATTCAGGGGCGGCGACGACCTTCGACAGGGGTTTTTTGATGTGCGAGAGAAAGAGAGAATGGGGCGACCTCCAGGGGCGGCGACGACCTCCGCCGGCCACCTCCAGGGTCGGCGAGTTTAGAGTTGGTGGCGGGGGGTTCGAAGGCGCAACGGGGGTTTGGGTTTTTTTTTGTGAGAGAGAGAGAACGGGGCCGGTTTTGGGGTGTTTGTTTTGTTTTTTTAATTTTCGCGAAAACAAATGGAGGGAAATTTCCCTCTATTTTGTGTTTAGGGAAAAAAACACTTGCTAACCGTTGGGGCTTGTGCTAGCAGCCCCAACGGATAGTTTCACCTGTTGGGGCTTGTGCTAACAGCCCCAACGGTTAGTTTCACCTGTTGGGACTGGACCATTTTTTACTAGATCGATATCCATTAGCTGCTAGTTGAAGAGCATAGCCAGATATAATGAAACTCAAATCATCTTAAAGCAGTAGTTAAGAAAGTTTTGAATATATTAAGTGTTACAGTTACAAGGAAATTGACTAATTAAAACAGTGATTATGTCAAATTTGAATTATGCCCACTCTGCTACAGATTGGAAGCCTAAGGTAACTCTGCTTGAACTGAAAATTGAAGAACCGCTAGCTATACATATTTAGACTCCCCATTCTCATTCCCTTGGGATCACCTTTGAAAGAAATCTTGGAAGCTTACGCTGGATCCAACTATTCGTAGCCTGTCTTGTATAAGCTAACCATGTTCAATTCAAGCCCTTTGAATTTATTCCATTCATACAAAATATAGCTTCTTCTGACTTCTTTCCCAACAAACTTCACCCTTTGTCATTCCAAGATACATGCCCTTGGATCTCTTCACTACACATTTATTCTTCCGTCATTACAATCAATACACAGCTCAAGAATCTTTTATAGCTCGAGTCCTTGATGATATCCTAATTATAACTGCATTTCCTGTAATCCTCACTATCATCATCACTTCCATCTTGGATCTACTTACCATTCAGAAGATGCTCAAGAATCCATGATCAAATAAAGTACTTCAACCAAAAGTGAAACAAAAAAATAAGCTTATTCTCACCAATAGTCTCCACAAGAGCACACTCCATCTCTAAAATGATGGAACCTATTGGCATCCCTCACCACGATTACCCTCTCAGTAACCTTTGATATAAATTTCGTCGCATTGTGACAATCTAAACAAACCCTCAAGTTCTTGATGATCCTAATCTCGCTGCCCGGTTCAGTGCTTATAAGCCCAAAAGCAATAGCCAGCTTCTCGCTATGAACTCTCACCATGCTCTCCTTCTCCTCCTCTTCAACATCATACAATGCAGCATCAGTCTCAACCCGGTATCCAGCTTCAACCATTTTCCCAGTGATTTCCTCTAACTTTGCATAAATTGCTTCACTCTGCGGATGTGATCGATCACCAGAGGTGAATGTATACATTGTATTGTTAATCTCTATCAAAGTGCATCCAGGTGTCTTTGTCATCCTCTGGCTCTTGACTTCGTCCCTGACCGTTGCTGCTTTTGAATAGTTTCTGTTAGCTGAGTGTATGTTTGATAGAAGAACATAGTAACCAGGGTTCTCAGGTTCGAGCTCAAATAACTTTTTCGAGGCCAATTGTGCAAGGCTCGTGTTTTTATGAATCTTGCAAGCACCGAGCAAGGCACCCCAAACACCAGGGCCTGCATCAATTGGAGCTCTCTCTATAAACTCCAATGCCTCTTTGAGCTTCCCAGCTCGGCCAAGCATGTCAACCATACACGCATAATGCTCTGGTCCCGGTCTAACCCTATAATCACCATCCATAGAATGAAAAATTCTTCGACCCTCCTCAACCAAACCCCCATGGCTACAAGCATTCAAGACCGAGAGAAACGTGACTCCATTTGGACAAATTTGATTACTCGAAAGCATATCCTGAAATAGTCTGACGGCATCCTGGCCTTGGCCATGGAGACCATAGCCCATTATCATGGCATTCCAAGAAACATCATTTTTCTCTCTCATAGCATCGAAAATCCTTCTTGCCTCCCCGATGCTTCCACACTTTGCATACATATCGATCAGGGCTGTCGATACATAGACATTAGGTTCAACACCCTCCCTGTTGATTATTTGGTGAACCCATTTCCCCAACGTGAGTGCTCCCAGTTGAGCACAGGCAGAAAGGATGCTCGCTGTTGTGACTGGATTCGGCTGAACTTTGAGAGACTGCATTTCTTGAAAGAGGCTAATTGCCATTTCTGTCAAGCCATTTTGAGCATACCCCGATATCATAGCATTCCATGATGCCATGGTCTTCTCTGGCATCACATCAAATGCCATCCTAGCTGCCTCCATATCATTCAATCTAATGTAAACAGTGGTGATAGCAGTGGATACACTCGAATTCCGATCAAACCCAGATTTCAAAATAAACCCATGAATGCATCTAGAAAGAGACTCATGCCCAAATGGCGAAAACACCGGGATCAAACCCACAAAAGTGCTCGGATTAGGCTTCCCACCTGAGCCAATCAATTCCTTAAACACCCCAACCGCATCCTCAACATACCCATTCGAAGAATACCCGGAAATCATAGCATTCATTGAAACCACATCAACCCAATCCATCTCCCTAAACAACTCTTCAGCCACCAATACTTCCCCAAACTTGCAATACATCGAAATGAGCCCTGTAACAACATGGCGGGAATGAAGAATGGACCGGCCACTCCCGACCTCACCCCAAGCACCCGTGAGACGCATCCCCAGCATTCCGCGTCCTGGCACCTCCCCAGCAGCTGGCAAACAACCACTGCCAAGCCGTCGATCGAGATCGAACCCCACACACCGAACCTACCATACCGGCCCAAACCTCTTCGCCGCCTCCGACAAATCACCGCCCCCTAACGACATTCCGGAAAGAGGCGAATTCCAAATACACGGGGTCCGCGTTCAGAAATTGCTATCAAACACCTTGTGTGCGAGACGGAAACATGGCCAAAAACCTTGAGCGGTAGCAGTTGGAGAAAGGGCCCAGAACCAACGAAAGGGTCTCGGTTGTGATCTCTAGCCAGATGATCTGCAGCAACATACTACTGAAGGAGTGATACGAGCTGAGGTGTGGGATGAGATAAAAAAAGAAATCTTATTACAACCATATTCAAGACCTAACGATAACAACAATAATATATGCATCTGCATGAAAGTTTCATGAAGGTCTCAACATATAAAAACGATGCGTCAGTAAAAAAAAAAAAATGAAAATCCATAAAAAGAAAATAACTTTTTATAAATCGCCGTTCGATCGGGGGAGATGCAAGAAGAGGTCCGAGGTAGCGGTGAGGAGGCCAGGAGGAGGGGCCGAAGGAGGAACGGCGAAGTGTTGGAACGGACGGGGGAGAAATCATGAAAAAAAAAAAAAATTTGGATGAAAGGTGGAATAGCCGATTCTGCAATGAAGAGCATGATGCGAGGAGAAGAGCGAAGCAGGTGACATGAGAGAGGAGGAGGAGGAGCGGAGGGAGCCGACGTTGCAGCGAGGAAGACTGTCGCGGGGCAGCCGGACGGAGATGAGAAGAAAGGTGAAGCGCGAAAAGCGAGGGAGGGGAGGGGAGGAGGGAGCGCGTAGAGGCGGTTATAGGGAGAAAACGCGTGTCTGTCGGAGAGGAGGGAGGTTCGGGGTGGAGACCAGGAGTAGCAATTCTGAGATGTGGGCACGAGCGATCTGGTGGATGTGGGCAGAGGAGTCGAGGAGATGGAGATTAGCGTGGGTACAAGGAGCGAGAGGCAGAAGAAGAGAAGCAAGCATCGGGAAGAGGTTTGAATATTGAAAAAGAAAAGTAGGTGCCGCGGGATTGGAGACGGGAAAATATTTCTAGGCTGTAAATTTCATCAAACCCCCCTTTGAACTTCATGGCGGTTTTGTATGAGCCCTAATTGAACGTTGCGGTCGAGAATTCACAAAATCTCCTACGTTAGACTAAAGGACAAATAATTCCACTGCTCTATCACGCAGGGCTGTCGCCGTCATGGCCCAGCAAAATGATGTAAGTTTAGTTGGAGTTATGGGTTTGTTTGTGGGATTTGAATCTTCTCTACTGTCAAAAAGTAATAAAGAGACCACTATAATATCACAATTGTTGAAAGATGAGAGGAGAATTATACCTCGGAGCAGTGCTCCGATCTGTAGCTATTGATGACCATCTCGGATCTCAATGGTAGAGAGAACTATGACGAGCAGGACACCCATGCACTATTCACGAGCCAAAAAACAGCCTCCGATCAATTCCTTTGAGCAAGCCATTAATTTTTAGTATCTGAAGTGGTGTTACAGAGATGCAGCCTCAAACCCTATTTATAGGAGAGCTTCAACTATCAGATAGGGAATTGGTTGGCGGGCAATTCTCAATTGTAAGATTAGATTAGGTTATCATGAGATTCTTGTCTATATCAATATTAACCACTTCATAGTTATCCCAAGATATCATCCCTAGAACAATTTAGATTTATATAGATATAGTAGCCACTAAATGGCGCCAAATCTAACATATTCTCACTCGACCAAAAGTGAGTTGCAATGGTTTGAATTAATGACAAGGTCCATACAACTACTGTGTCTTGCAACAATCGAGACAACCTACAATCTGCGAGCTATACACTATAAACCCTTGTAAAGAGCAAGCATGAAGACATCAAGCACTTTGGAAAAAAGAAAGTATAGATAGTGTCTCGTATACCCCATATCAAACTGTCACATATTTAGCTCAAGTATCCTCTAATCCCTCTTCGGAGAAGCATACTTGACTACAATAGAACTATTTGGTAGGATCCATATTTCGTCAAAAGCAAAGCTCCAAATGCAGACTCATTATCAAAGTAGATGTGTCAGTGATCTTCCTCTCGCACAATTATTGATTCAATCTAATAACAATTGCTTTCCCTTCACCTTCCTTTAGGCCAAATCTATCATAGGCGGTGAGGAGTCAAAATAGTACCACTACTCCCAAAATTTCACAACAAAATCAAATGTCACTAAAAGTAAAAGTGGAACAAAAATATGTTCCATATGATTTTGGTTTCAGATGATAGCAATGAAGGGAGCCATTTGCCTACCCCCAAGATCATGAAAGTCGCCTAGTATACGTGGTAGAATCACGTGTCATGATGGAGTAATGCTCCTCTGGAGAGATATGTCCATATCTACGTCATGTAGATCTTGAACTAATCAGTGGGCCTTACCACGCTTAGGTCCATCTGCCTCTTACTCGACAAGTGTATCATCGCGCCTACGTGAAGCACACACACATCTGGCTTTGAACAGGTTGTAACAAACCTAGGTCATTCATCGATCATTCTTAAGAATGATCTCACCTTGATTCTCAATTGAGATGATATAACTCATCCATGAATGTAGCTCACTGTTCGCGTAACTCATAATACCACAATTCATGACAATTCATAGCTATCTCATCTTTGTTGGCTCAGTCATAGTGCCAAAGGCGATTGCTCATATGAGTGAGCCAATCTTTTAACGAGTTTGAACATCTTTAATTATTTTGCTCATTTGTTACTAAAAGACATTCCATGACATTTCATAACATTCACAATGAAATCTAGAAATACATATTTGTTATAAAAGCCAACCATGAAATCATTGTTTGTGTATCCCTTGAGTCACAAATCTGAGTGTATATAGCACAAGATATAATCTTGTGTACCATTTAGATTCATGTCACCCTTTTACAATAGCTCAATGCACCAGTTCGACTAGCTGTAGGCATCAAAGGAAATATTGGCATAAGTACACATAATTGCATACAATAAGCACCCAATACAGTTTGAATGTAGGACATTTGTCATGTACTTTTGTTCTCTTTCTAACTTCAAACAACATTCAAGGCTTAATTGATGATTCTTTTGGTTGACATGTCTAGACATACAAGGTCAAGATCAAAGAGATTCGCGGATTGTTTTATATACATGCAGTGATCCTCTTCAACCATGATGAACCCAAACTAAATATCAGCTAAACGAAACCTTAGATACCACTGCCTAGATGATTGTTTTCCATATATGAATTTTTTGAGCTTGTGGATTTTGTGCTCAAGACCTTTAGATAGAAGCACCTTATGTTGATCCATAAATATCTCCTCGTCTAGTTCTCCATGGAGAAATGTAGTTTTATATCCATCTAGACAAGTTTCAAATCCATGTGAACGACCAACGCTAAAATCACGTGAATCGAGGCAAACCTCATCACAAAGGAGAAAGTTTCCTCATAGTCTATCTCTCTCAGTGCAGGTATCCTTTCACCATAAGTTGCGTTCTAAACCTATCAATAGAACCATCTAACTTTTGCTTGACTTTCAGATTCTACTTTTTTCTGATAGCCTTGTGCTCAATTGGAAGGTGTATTAAGTCCCAGATTTAGTTTGTCCTCATAGGCTCCATCTCATCTTTCATGACATCCATCCATTTATCTGTATTAGGGCCAGACTTTGGATCCGCTATATCATGCGGTGCCACCATACACACTTTCCTCTCAATCTGTAAACGATGACAAGGGATTGGTTGGTGACTACCTCATATGAGTTCTTGAGATTCTTGTGATGGGGATTCAGGATTAATAATGGAAATGTTGTTCCTACCGTCCCCAGGAAGCGTAGAATGTTGGTCCTCATGCTCGACCGGGCCTCTTAGTGTGCTTTCATCCATCTCGAATAAATCAAAGTCTTAGCTCATCTCCCCCTTACAAGGAAAATCTTGTTTGAGAAGCGTTGTATTTCGTGATATAATCTCATGAGTTATTCCATCTTCTTGCGTTGTGATGAACACTTAATCCTTTAAATGTTTTGAATAGTAAATAACTATGCACTTCTTCTCCCTTGGGGCCAACTTCTCATGTGAGTGGGATGTGGTGTGCATATAAGTCACCAAGCCCCATGGTCACAAATTACCCAGTTAGGTTTTTATCCGGTCCAAAGCTCATAAGGTATAGAATTAATAGCCTTGGAAGGCGCATGATTTAGTACATATGTAGCAGTTAATAACGCAACTCCCTAAACAGATATGGATTAATTCACCTGCGCTATCATGGACCTCACCACATTAAATAATATTCTATTCCTTCCCTCTGCCACACAATTTGCAAAGTATATGGAGTAGTCATCTAACGAACAATCCTTTCTTCTCACATAGTACATTGAACTGCTCAGATAGATATTCTCAACCACGCTCGGGTCCTAATAGTTTTATGCACTTTTCAAATCGATTCTAAATCTCATTCAAGGAGCACTAAAAGCATCTCAGAGCTTCACACTTGTGTGAGATTGTGTCATGAATAATCATCAACGAATGTAGTGAACTAAGGGACTTAAGTCTGAGCCTATCACACTTAATGGTCAGTAAATGTCAAAAATGGATGAGTTAGATAACACTGTCGATGTACCCTACTCCAAATGGTTCTTTTGTAGCTTTGCTTGCAAGCAAGGCTCCCAAGTGGAGAAAATGACCTTAGCGAGCAAATTGAGAAGTTCACATTGAGCTAGACGGATCATCTTCTCTTGCATTATGTGCATTAATCTAGACATCCCATATTACATAATCATTTCACAGCAACATATTTCATAGAAATAACTATATCTTTTTATTGGCATTGTTTGGTGGAAAATCTATAAGAAGACAATTGAAAGAATTAAATTTGATTTA